CCCTATAAGACATAAAATTGAATGAGGTTTTAACCTTTAAAAAAGATCTCCATTTCATTTTAGAATATACTGTTTCATACAGGAAAAACTCATTTTTTTAATGCTACTAACACTTAGATGTTTGCACATGTGTCTCTAATCTCTATGTGTCTGATTATTACTAGTCACAGTCAGTTACACTCAAATCCTTGGCACCTGAATATGGATAGAAAGTCATCCAGTAGATTTCAGTTGTAATGTTTTTCACCTCTACTAATTAACATGAAGTAAATTTTTATGCTTCTTCCTCAAATAGAACCCTTCTTTTATTTGTTGATTTTTTGTGTGTGTGTATTTCATATGGCACATCCCAAACAATCTTATTCATCTATATACCCACTTCCCAAATGGCACCCTCCCATAGCCTCCCCTGCCACTGGAGCCCATATACTGTGTCATCCCTGTTACTATTCACTGTGTTGTCCATGCCCCCAGCCATCCCCCAGTGCCTGTCCATCCTCTGAATCTAGTCAGCCTATCTAGAGCTCCTTGTTTTAGGAAGATCAGCTCTTCCTCATCTAGCAGCAACATTCCTTTAGATAAGATTGGGGTCTATTGTTCGTTTTCCCAGTTCTATGCTGGGTTACTGTCTGGGAGTCTCTTGGGTGACCCTGGCCAACAACTCAAAGGAAGGTATCACCTGTCTGGCATTGTTTCTTGTTATGTAGCCTTTTGCTATACACATGGACTCTTAAAAAATTATATTGACCCCATTAATCTTCAGTTATACTTTCCTTTTGGGTGTTTAAGACCATACAGTTGGCCCAGATAAACCAATTTATTTTTACTCTTAAGGCCATTTGAGGATCTGTTCCTCAGTGGTCACATGGGCTTGGGAGGAGCCCCTGGCTCCTTTCTTTCACCAGTTCCATCTATGTGACAATAAGTCAAAGGTCCTGCTGGACCATGGCTGGCTTCGCTTGGAAGCTTGGAGGAAATGTTTCCTCTGTGTTGACCCTCCTCTTTGTAGACTGGACACTGGTTCAAGTCCATTCTCCATGGCCTCCTTGATCAAGAGGACAGATGACTCACCA